ATCAAATATTTTTTATTTCAACATTTCATGGGACTATTATTTTGGGGCATCTCAAAATGAAATAGTGGACCAATAACAATATTGATGCAGTTACTGCTTGGGGTTGGCAATAAGCTGTAAAGCTTGCCCTGGAAAATAGCAACTCCATTCAAGATTGGGTTGCACAAAAACAAGCTGGTAAATTGATCATACAAATTATGCGAAGGTAACATACAATACTAGAGTGTCTCTTACAATTAAAAACCATAAGAGTGAAGAGAGCAAAGCACAAGTGGACAAAAGAAAATAGAAACACCGCGTTCACAACCCTTCAGTATAGGTTACCCTGTAAGATTTTAGGATCTATATACTAGAAATCAAAACAATATGAATATAAGTAACTACTAAAATATAAACTCAGATACATACCATTTGATTCCGTTATTGTCTTGAGTTTTGCTTCCTTGAAAGAATATGGCATTCATAATTGGAAAACCTTAGCACCAGCTTTTCCCCTCCTTCTCCTAATCTTTTTGTTGTCTTTTCAATGGGGCTGACAACCATTTGATCTACTTATATAGATATATATATATATATATATGTAAACCCTAATAAGGATATGAAAGGGAACTGGGCCTAAATAAAACAATTACTGGGCCTTCCCATTAAGGAACCCAAATAACTTAAAACAGGCCTTACACATCCATATCACATATCCGCATATAAAATAATATATACACTAAGATGACCATGGCCCAAACTTTATGGATCACAATAATAATTTTGGGCTCATGCCAGTCAATCTATTTGAATCACGTTCAATCCGTTTTTCACAAACCAAACAAAATATAGTCAATGACAATCTAATTAAGAATAAATTCTTACATTCTCCCACTTAGGCAACATTGACTACTACTTTAAGAAAATATTTTATTTAAGAAAAAAGACTCTCGGGTTAAACAACTTTAGTGGCCACATAAACATGATTCAGAATAGAAACATCTCAACACAGAATCCCGTTCAATGAGAAATATTAATATCGAACTGTACTGCAGTTACATTTTTATGTTTGCATGAGATCTTGTTTCATGAAAGAGTTTCATAAAATCTCTCATAATTTTCACTATAACAAACATGTTTAGAGTTCTACTTGAGTATGTAATTAAGAATTTTATTTCAGAGTGGAATTGTTAATTTCATCTCCAAACTTATAAAGATGTATTATGATATATGGTTTTAATTTCTCTATGAACGAATAACAAAAACTCTGAGGGTGTTTAATACATAATTTTAAAGTATTCAGAATTACAGAATTGTTAAAGATGATATTCTTTATGAGCACATGTTATAGAATACATACTAGTTGATCCTCTAAAATAGGGCTAGGCCAAATTTTAGTTTACTAAATATATTGAGCATATGGGTACTTACAGTTTTTATGTGCTTGGTTAAAGAAATTTTACCCATGAATATTATCTAGTAATATTTCAGTTAATAAAGTTTAATGTGTTTACACATTTGTTTATAGTTAGTGTGTATGCATAAATGGTAATTGTCATATATGTAACCCTACATGAGCTCTTACAGTTATATTAATTTTGAGATATAAAGATTAACACTTTGGTTCAGAAGATATATATCCATAAAGTAGATGCTTGGTTTTAAAGCATGAAAGACCTCGATTTAGAGGAATAAAGGCTTCTTGGAAGTGTAAAATGGAATAAAATTCCTTGCAGGGTCTTGTCAAGACCATGTTAGAGGACTGAATGTGGAATAGCATTTATATAATTTTTGGATCAATTATGCTGAAATTCCACACTACACTTTATCACATATAGGAATCCATGTTTGGTGAGATATTAGTGTTTGTGTATTGTGAAGGTGTATGGTGTCATAGCATAATTACGCTACA